CTGAGTCAACCCTGAGCCGGTGGGATTTGAACCGCTGAACTGCTGATCTAGCAGTAACCTGCAGTGCTGCATTTAACCACTGTGCCACCTTGGCTAGTGCTGGTCTTTAAACAGTTACCTATGCATTTGACAGTTCACCATTCTTACCACATAGGCAATAGCATTAACTCAAGGAAATAAGAAAATTCACGAGTTTCCCTTTTAGATATCTGCATATTGAAATAGGATATCTTTCTGCATAAACAACTCGGCTAGAATATTCTGAATGTGTCTACTCGGGCATGCAAATATAGTGTAAATTCAAACAAAAACTCAACTTGTATTATTTCTACTGCAATCCTATAGTTTATAGTATTACTTATAGAATGGGCATAAATAAAAATTCATTAATAAAAATCCTCATAGAGAATAAAGTATGATTCAGTCATGCATATCCTTGAACATTTAACTTTTAAGTTAATGAATTTCTAAGATAAAATAGTCATTAATAATTTACTTACCATCAATAACTCTGAATACTTTTTTGCAACTAGGGAGAGGCCAATTTGCTAAATTTGATTTTTGAAAATTTTCCTTTAATTTTGAATATTCCATTGGAAAGAAAGTTTCTGTGGAATTGTTCAGGTCTACAATAAACAAGAAGAAATAACATAAACATGTTAGTAACCTTTATTTAGTAATGAAAATAATGGTATCAATTTTCCATTGTTTTTCATATTTATGAAAACTTAAAAGAGAATCAGCCCTTGAAGATAAGTCGGTTACTTTTCAGAAGTATTTATTATATCCAGAAATATTTATTATATTATATCAAGATGAATGAAACAATCTAGAGAATCATGTGATGAACACTTAGATAACCTCTTTTATCTTTTTGAACAGCTGGCAACTGTGTTACCTGGCAAATGAGATTTGAAACTTTGGGTTCTTTTAAAAGCATTTGCAAAGCAATTGTAAGAGAAGTTGTGGATTTTTCACCAAATTCAGAGAATACGAAGACTATACGGCTATACAGAGCAAAAATAATATTGGCTGGATATAAAGCAATAGATATTTTTAAATTACATATGTCAAAAACAAGAGCCAGTTGGACACATAAGGCCTCCTGGACTGGGGTCAGTCTAAAGTCCAGTAGGTCCACATCTTTGCCTTATTTAAATACTTTTTATGCATTAAATTTATATGTCACCCATTTCCCTGATAGGTGACTCTATTATTTCACTCATCAACATTCAATCGATGAATGCATTTGATGGAATACTAATAAGACACCCATTTCTTCTATTAAATATAGTTACGTACAAGAATGATACAGAGTATAATTTGTTCCAGGACCTTTTATTATGCAAATCCATCTAAAGTGTAATAATACATAAAAAATACCAGTTCTCATTTTCATTTACTTTGCAATAAATGAGAAATCTTTATCTCTACCACAATCATAGGTGTAATTACTGTTTCAGTCATAGTTTTATTAAATCTTGTTACTAATGTGTTTTCCTCTTACATAGAAAAAAAAATTAATATGGAATAAGAAAAAAATATTGTTGTCTTGAGCTCCCAAATGATAACTTACAGCTTTTGTGTATAATGGACAATGCAATAAATAATTAGCTAGATGTTCAGTTTCTATATATTGCCAAGAACCCTTTCCTCTGTTATTGCCTTAGAGACTTCTAGTTCAATTTGAAATACTGCATTTTTAGACTAAATTCTACTTCTGTACAATTTAATGTTACAAAAGGGGGAATTATTTAGTGGTAATTAACTTCTTCATTAACTCTTGGAAAAAGACATATTATAATGTAGTGAAGACACAATATGCATGTCTGGATCTGTTCAAACTGATATCTAGGACTAGATAATGATTATGAGACTATTGTACTTAAGAATCTATGGTTAATTTTAACTTACTAGATAAGAGTGATGTTCTGTATGCATCTCAAGGAGACAATGAAGGAAAGCAGTAAATATTAAAACTAACCTAAACTGGTACAGAAACTTACTTCCAACTAGTTATATAAGGGGTAAGGGCAGTGGTGGGATTAAAATAATTTAACAACCTTTTTCTGCCCTAATGACTGACTGGGTAGGCGAGGCCGGGTGGCCATGTGATTGGGTGGGTGTGGCCAACTTGACGTCACTCATCACACCCAGCCTTGCCTCCCGGCCACTAAAGGCCTTAACAAGGTTCAATTTCCCTCTCTATTTATTTACTATTACTGAAGTCCAAAATGCTCTGAAAAATGCCCCAATAAACAGGCCAAAAAATGGGCTGGGGCGGGGCCAGTCAGTGATGGGATTAAATGGTTTGTCAAACTGGGCAGAATTTTAACAACTGGTTCACCTGAACTGGGCTGAATGGGCTGAATCCCACCTCTAGGTAAGGGTCTCTGAGAAATGCTTGCCTCATTATAGTTTAACTCCATGAGCACTTTCTTTTCATTTCTCATTACTGAAAGATCCTCACATATAAGCCTAGGTTAAAAATTAAGCTGACATTTGATGAGATGGGCAGCATATACATTTAATAAATAAAAATGTTTGGAGGAGCAGATTATACATATAAATGATAATTGAGGCGAACGTACATGCATTCTGGATTTTGCCATGAAGATGTGCCAGTTGTTGAATGATTTTGACTGAAATACGTTCAAATATTTAGATATCAATTCTATATGACATTGCCATTGATGAGATTGATTACTGAAACAATTACACTTTTAGAAACATATCAGCTGGCATCACATAGAATTCGGTTATATTTTCATTATGTTATTAGCATATTTCCGGTATTTGGAATACACGTAATACTGAACATTTTCTTGAGAAGGATAGTTAGTTTTAATATTAGTATTAATTAGTACTAATTTGGAAATATAGGCAACAATTACTGAAATGTATTTAAGGAAGGCTTTTTACCTGATTGGAAAAAAACGTGGGTAATTGCAGTACGGCAGAGAGGACATGGAGTGCTAGTTGGATTATCCTTGGCAAGCATACGTAGGCAAGGTTCACAGAAAATATGATGGCATGGGTAGCACATGTAAGGATTGAAGTAGATATCCAAGCAAACTGCACAGAGGTAGCTTTCCTTATCTTTTCTGTGTTCATATTCTTCTTTTGTATTCATTGTCTACAATGAAATAAAAACATGAGGCAATGTCAAAAACTATTTTAGTCATTCAAATTAAAGATGCAATGTATGCAATAATATAATTTATGACAACGGAATGCTTATTCCAAGTTTATTTTGCAATATATTCTTTGGTTTAAAATAATATTAGTAAAATAATATGAAAAATTATAGTGTGGCTCAAAAAAATCAATATTTAATAACTGAAAAAATAATAAAATCAACCTAGTGATTGGTTAATCACTATAAACTCTCAATGATGAACATACTTTATGATAGTATTAAATTATAGATACAATTTTATACTTTGATATGGTTATATCAACAGGACTGGAAATAGGTAGAGTTTTCTCAAAATGAATGTAGCATTCATTAAAATAAGTAGTTGGTCACTGATGGAAATAAAAAACTGGAATAAGACTGGACAGGTCCTGATTCACCATGGCTATTCTTATGTTCTTAACGTGTATGATTTTGTAAACTAATAATCTATTTCTAGATTATTCCAGGACGCTCTTCTGAATATAGGCTTACTTGCTTCATGATAATAATGATTTTAATAATTTTAGCTTGTTAAAAGCAGACCAAGAGCTTGTAATGTTTAGTTCTGGTCTACAATTTACATGACTGTGTTATTAGTGATATACATACATATACATTATGAAATGTATACATATACATCAGTGATGGGTTTCAAATTTTTTTAGAACCTCTTCTGTAGGTGTGGTCTGCTTTGTGGGAGTGGCTTGCCAGCCATGTGACCGGGTGAGAGTGGCCAACTTGTAAAATGTGGTGAAACTCACTTAACAATGCTCTTGCTTAGCAACCAAAATGTTGGCTCAGAAACTCTGGCATTTGAAGCACNCCGATGTCATATTGAACCCTATGGATTAGGAATGGGATGTCACTTACAGTAAATTCAAATGCAAGTAAAGGCAGGTGAGCGAATACTTTTGGCAATATAGTGTATCTACCCATTATATATTTTAATATGTATTAATGGCTAACCTTATCAATTGTACTAATATCCTATGCTGCTGGTACTAATTAACTATAATTATAATGAAACCAATTACATGATAATAATTTTCTTAAATCTATAAAGAGAGCTTGTAACTAACCCACTTTAGGCTTACATTTCCTTGCTTCTTGTACTGAATCTGTCAAACAATCAGTTTGGTATAATTGTAACTCGATTGCTAAGTTAAATGTACTTTTGAGAAAATACCATCTCCTTCAGGGGTGATGCATATCAATATGATGATATCAATCTTTAAGTTCTGACCAGGTCTGGATGGTGAAAAATATCTATTCATTTGGCACATCCTGGACAACTGATAGACGTAATGTGGTTTCAAAGGGTGTTTTTTTTCCCCATGAAGCATGGTGCATGGTTCAGTTAAGGCCTTGGTTGCAGCATGGAATGAAGCCCATTATCTGGCGCTTTTTTACTCAGGATTCAGTTGAGTTATAGTACTGAGACAATATCAATTACACTTATGATTGACTACTGGAGTGTTCAGGATCAGGATGGACCAACCGTCCTGGACCTCTCAGATCACTTGGCAGCCTTTGATACCATTAACCATTTGGACTGGCTTCAAGGACTAGGAGTGGGGAAAACTGTTTTCTGTGAGTCTGTTTCTTCTTCCATAGTGGTGGACAGAAGGCCTGAATCTAGGCCCTTCTAAATGGTTTGGGTTTCTTACTGCTTCTCTTTTAATATCTACATAAATCCTCTTGATAAGGTCATTTGACAATAGAGTGCAATTATCATCAGCATGCTGATTGTACCTTGTATATTTTCACTCCTGGTTGGGACAGTGATGCTATTCAGGTATTGATTAAGTGTCTGGAATATATGAGGGCCTGGTTGGGGAAGAATTGGCTGTCACTTAGCCCTAATAAGGTAAACTTGATAGGTGCAAAAAACCAGTCCACACATGAAGGTCCAATAATAACTGATTTATTGCTAAAAACCTATGCATAGGAGTATTTTAATCAATAGCTAGCGCCTAATGGATCTAGATAAGTCGAATGAAATTCAAGGGTTGGATTTAGTCCACTTTTAGGTGACTAGGGATTCTAGACTGCTGCCTCTTTTGACTCTGCACCCTGGTTCTGCTATTCCTTCTGTAAAGGCTTTGGATCTTTGTCCCTTCTGGATCTGGTGAAATGTAATCTCTGATTCTCAACTGATAGCTCTCTTCTACACAGAGCTGGTGTGCAATTGGGGGAATCTATATGGAGCTTTTTAAAAGATCATCCTGGACCGAAGTTACAACAGCAGCAAAATGTGGTGGCACACACAATTTCTTATGTCTCTTGGCTTGCTCAAATTACAAATTACACTACTGCTGTATGAGCTGTACTGGCTTCCATTTTGTTTCCGGGGAGAGGTTGTTTTCAAGACTCCCTGACAGTATTTGCCCATTGTATTAGGTCACTTAAGCAGTTAATGTAAACACCTTAGATCCTTTCCCTAAAATATTATCCAGTGAAACCTAGGACATGTGCCTTTTTAGTAGCAGTTCTCACCAACAGCCTCCCATGGAGATCCAAAACATCCATACCCTTCAAGTCTTAAAAATATGGCTTCTCCCCAAAACAGGTTTAGATTGGTGTCTAGTGATTGTGACTGTTTATGTATTGGGGAGTGGTTGTTTTAGAGTGCCAAGAACTGGAAGGTTTTTGTGAAGGGGAGCTCATTTTATTGCTAATGTTGTTTTTATTGTTATAGTTGTGACTCTTTCAGAGTTACAATACATGAGATGATTGACCGTATATGTCTCATTAAGAAACAGGTTCAGACTCTACTGTAGAAGACAGAATGACCATTTCTTTAGAAGGCTGTTGATTCTGGGACTATATCATCTTAATGTAATAATGCGAACAGACTAGCAATTTGGAAGTGCTTCTGAACTCATGGCTCCTGCTGAAAAAGCAGATGGAGACCATGGTCAAGAATGAGTTCATCTGGTTCCACTAGGGCAAGTATTGTGGTTCTTATGCTCAAAATGATTGGTCACTCACAGGCTTATTCCCTCCAGTTAGATTACTGTAATTTGCTTTATGTGGAGCTGCCTATGCAGAGCATCTGGAAACTTAGTTAATGCAAAATGCAGCAGCCCATATGCTTGCTGAGAAGCCTCATGACTGTGATATATTTCTGCTGACGGCACTGAATTGACTTCTAGCATGGTTCCATGTATAATTCAAGATTTAAAATTCACATCCCAAGCAAATTCCACTATCCTGCTCAGTCTACATGACCAGAAGATCCCTGTGGAAGATCTCCATCTTTTAAGAAATAAAATGGGTGGGTTCTCAAAAGAAGGCATTCTCTGTGGTAGCTTGCATTTATTGAGTTGACTAAATTGCTGATGCTGCTAAATAAGCACATCTTTGAGATTGAGGTGACATACATTTCTTATACAAGTAAAAATATCACCACGCAGTGCTATTTCTTTGTCATCTTCCTAATTCAACATGGAAAGTGGTCTTTCCACCTCTCTACACAAAAAGAAGAAAAACAGGTCATTCCTTTTGCTTCGCTGAGAAACTTCAGTTGGCCCTCTAAAATGTTTTCATTCAGGATAGTTTGAATTTACTAACAAACAAACTCTTAATATAGAAACTAAGAAAACCAATGGCAGAAAGAGACCCAGTGGTCTACCAAGTCTACCCTTTGAATTTTTGTTTGTTTTCTTTTTAATTTATTATATTTATTTATTATATCCCATTCAAATGATTACGCTATTCAAGTCAATCAAGATACCATATCTAACAATACATATTTTATTCCAAATTTGCCAAATTTAATTTTACAATGTAGAAATGGGGCTTGATATTATCAGAGTGGCATTGCCTCAAACATATTTGTTACACTATGCTAATGTAGCTTTTAAGATTTAAATTACAAAGATAAATATGTTTGATTTTATATCCATCCTTCTGCAAGTTCTTCAAATCTGTGCTGGCTTACATCCCAAAGATTATGCCTGTATAATCTGTTTTTAAATTTGATTTCCAAGAAATGAATTTGTAGCTACGGCTGAAAACACATTACTATTTAATGACCACATAGAAATCCTCTATATAATATATCCTCTAGAGAACTCAAATCAAATTGGCCACAAGTGATTCTTTTGTTTATTTCCACTCTTAACAGAAAATAACACACAAATATGCCAAGGGGCTATTTTTGCATCATCTTAGAATCTTTTTGCAATCTCTAATCAAGACATAGTTATGCAAACACTTAGTGATATTTTATGATAAGTTGCTTCAGCTGAGAAGATTTGAATGAATAAATATAATAGTTGATTTGTATCTCTGTTGATTTTACTTTAAGCAAATCTACATTAAATTTACCCCAGATTAGACTTTATAATGTAATCATTCATTCAATAGTAATTTTATTACTGTAATTGTTTTTGCTGTAGGAACCCAAGATATATCTAATATTGCATTAGTTAAATGTCTGACCCAATTTTTCTCAGCTGAGAACACATCGCATTCATCAAATAAAAAAAACCAAGCACAAATCACAAATCTGAAGTGTAAATTAAAGGCTCACATTTTAAAAAGCTTCAAAAGTCTAACGCATGCTCTGGCTTTAAGATCTATGACATGTAAGCACAGTGAAGATATTCTTCAATCTCTAGAGGAGTTACATTTAATTGAGTCTTGATAGACTGGAATACTGGTGAGTGGTTAGATCTATACATGCCAATAGTTTGTAGTTCAAACTATGTGGTCATAAATAAGCAGAATTTTTTTCAGTTGACAATTTTTTCTTAATTTTATTTTTCATAAATATTTTAATATATTTTAATTGTATTTTTACCCCGAATTTTAAAGTTAGATCATGTAATGATCCGATTCAAATTAAAACTCTTATGTTTTCAGATTCTAAAATCTACTTTTATGTGTAATGTTGAAATAAAGAATTCCAAAGTGAGCTGCATTTACTGAACTGAAGAGAGTTGGGCTTTGCT